CCCATTTCCCTTTGGGTTTTTGCTTATTAATGCCTTTTTTCCCCCTCCTCTCAGTCAAGTAGATTCTTCCTTCATCTCCTCTTCAATTACCCTTGTGTTTTTTATTTAAAATTTTTGCACCCTTTCCAAAAAATGAGTTCTCTTATTCTATTCATTATTCACCCTCTTTCTGGATACTCTAAACTCTCACTCTGTCATTCACAGCGACTGTTAAGTATCTGGTTTCTGTCTTTTCTTTGTATTCCTTATGCAATCAAAACTTCCAAAGTATCCATTCTAGGCTTTTCCCTCTTGGAGGTTTCTGCCATTGCCTTATCAATCTTGCTCCATATGTTCCCCCTTTTCATTGTGCCTCACCCCCAGAACAATGTCATTTATTGCAGGTGTCAAAGAAGACACTAATTCTCCCCTACTGTGTTCTTGATTATGTGGTCCCTTCCCCTGCTTACCTTTTTCTCCCCATTTGCCTCAAAATCTCCTCCCTGTATCCATGCTCCCCCGATGCCCCTGGTGCCAGTCACCCTTACAAGTTTCAACTTCCTTTCTCCTGAGGTAGGACAAATGGACTTTTCAAACACCAAATCCCCTAGGGTACACCCAGTACAAGGTACCCCCCCCATCTTCTTTCACAGACCATCTCTCTTTAATCATTCATCAGTGGAATCTTTTCCTATCATCAAAGCAAGGCATCCTTCTCCTTCCTTCCTTTTTCGATCCTTCCCCCCACCCCCACTCCCCTATAGGATCTTCTCTTTTTGAGATCATAGGGGTCCCCTTCCCCTTAGTGCTTTTCCTAGATTTGACCCTGGGACATCACACATTTTTCTATATCTTTCTGCTTCTCCTTCCCCATTTTGATGTACTCTCCCACACAGTAAGCAGTCCCACAAACAAAACAAACAACCCACAATGATTCACCTGTAGGAGGATATTACCAGGTTCTGTCCATAAATGCCCTAGGGCCAGCCCACCTTTTCAGTGTTAACCTTCACAGGAATTCCATCTTCACTCTTGTCTCCCTGAGTACATTTAAAAAGTTCTTATTGTTTTGTCTGCTAGCATCTGTTGTTGCTACTATTCTTGGAAGCTGCATGTACTCACTCCTCCTGCATTTCTGTTGTTTGGGGTATTTCAGAACCAAATAATCTCTTAGGTCTTTTTTTTTCTCCTCAAAGTATTTCTAACACCTCTTTAGTACTGAATGTCGATCTTCTTTTCATTTTTGTTTAAAGTCATATTTGCAGGGTAAATTACCCTGGGCTGTATCCTCAGCTCTACTGTTCTTTGGAATACATTATTCCATTTTCTTCTACATTTTCTGGTGGAATACAAAAGACTTGAATTATTCAAATTTCCTTTCTTTTGCATCTCAGGATGGATTTCTCCTGATCACTTGCAGAATTTGTTTCTGAATTGAATTGTTAAATTTAACCACTATTATGTCCTGGAGTTTGCAGCCTTGGGTATTTTCTTGGAGGTGATCCATGAATTCTTTCAATTGTTATTTCATTTCCTATATCCAGAAGTTCAGGAGAGTCCTTGTCTATTATTCTACATTATGGTGTTAAGGGTTTTTTGGTCCTGTTATGGTCTTCTGGGAGACTTATGCTCCTTGGGTTGTCTCTAGACATTATGGCTTTAAGATCAGTATGTTTTTGCTTCAATAGTGAGCACATTTTCTTTTTAACTTTTTTTTTGGTTCTTTTCATCTGGACTTTCACTTCTCTATATTTGAATTCCCAATCTATTGCTCTCCCTTTTGTTTCTTTGGTGAGACTTGCCAGTGCAGATTCTAGTTTTTCTATATTGCCCCATTATTTTTGCCGTGCAGGCCAAAAATTCTACTGTCATAATTCTCATTTCTCTTTCCAATCACTAAGGAACAGTGCACTGTGGTTCTATGTTCTCCCCCCGTTTTACAGGGTTCTCTTTTTATCAAGTGTTGGATCATTATCCTTTGCTTTGCAGACACCTGAACAGACACCTGAACTCATTTACTACATCAAGAGGCCACTTTGCCTTCTGCTGTTAATTTCCTTCTGTTTTCTTTTTCTTTTTCTTTTTTTTTTGGCAGTTGGGGTTAAGTGACTTGCCCAGGGTCACACAGCTAGTAAGTGTCAAGTGTTTGGTCTGAGTCCAGATTTGAACTCAGGTCCTCCTGACTTCAGGGCTGGTGCTCTATCCATTGCACCACCTAGCTGCCCCCCTTCTGTTGTTTTCTTATTGATTTATCTGCTTACGTTCAGAATCTTTGGGTTTTCTTCTTCCTGAGATCTTTGGTAGCTTATTTCCCCCCCTAATTTTCTCCTATTCATTCTGATTGTTCCTCTGATAATGGTTTCCTTGGGGGCTGCATCTCAAAGTGTCTCAGCATACTCCCACATTGGGCATGGTTCAACACCCTAGGGCTCTGCACAAAATGACTTGAGTGATGAAAACTGGCCCGACCTGGATGTCATGCTCTTTCTCTCAGTTCTGCAAAGCACTCCCTCTTCACCTGTTCTGACAGCCTGTCCCACTCCCTCTGTTCCTCAGTTGTTTGGCCTGGCTCACAGAGCAGCCATGCTCATGCTATGGGGTTGTCCACACAGGCACCAGTAATTCAGAGCTTTGCAGTGCTGGTGCTATCAGGTTCTAGTCCCCAGAAAGCATTTGCTCCTGGTGGGCTGCCGCCTGCTGCGCTTGCTGTTTGAAACTGCACTAGCAAACTTCCACAGTCTGAAAATTTCCATAGCATTGGAAAAAGAGTGTGGGGACTAAGGTCTGGGGCTGGGTTTTGTTGCAAGTCCCTAGCCACGTGCTGGGTCCTTAGCTAGTGCAGCCTTGCTGCTGGTAGCATGGGAAGCAAGGGAGGGATGCTGAGTGAGGTTGGGGGTCAGTGAGCATCAATTCATAGTTTTTTAAAACCTTCTCATGGATTCTGGAAGTCCTAGACCATAAAGACAGCTGATGCTGCTTCATCTTAGGTGCATAATTTATGTTTTAGAGAAGTCTGAGAGGTCGTGGGGATTGGAGAAAACGTTTAGTTTTCCATCTTGTTGCTAACATGATCCAGAAGTCCATAATATGCTTTTATTAGGCAAAATTTAAGGTTTTGCACTGAGAAGAATGAAAAGAGCATGGCTCTAGGGTAAAAAAAAAACCTGGATTCAAATCCTGCCTCTGACACTTACCACTAATGTAACCTTGGGAAAATTATTTAACTGTTCTGGGCTTCAGTTTCCTTATTAACAAAATGAGGGGGAATCTGTATCTATGATCCTATGACTTGTGGCTGGGATGAAAAGACTCATAATTTTGTGCTGAGACCAAACTTAGCATTAATTTGTGGTTTGCTGGGATTTTTTTTGGACATTGTGAAGCACTAACAATGATCAAAGAATGGAAAATTCAGTGAACATATACATTAGTTCATGAATTTTAAAATTATGGTGTGAGCTGAGGCTTTTAGTGTTGGTGTTTTATTGGTGAATTAATAGCTCAAGAAAGCAAGAAATCTTTCAAACACAGAAAGACTAAAAACTTGATCTCTATAAAACTCACATGTGTTCTTGGTCCAATCTGTACATAACAAAAATCCCTTCAACAACATTCCTAATGAGTAATTATCCAGCCTTCTCTTGAAAACTTACAGTGAAAGAAAATCTGCTACCTTCTATATATTAACTCATTCTACTTCTAGATAGCTCTGTTAGGAAGTGATGTTCAAAAAGACAGCATAAGACTTTGCCAGATGCTCTGCTAAAATTTAGGCAAACTATATCTGGTTCTACTACATATAGGCAAACTATATAGCATACTCTTGGTCGACCAGTAACCCCGTCAAGCAGGAAATGAAGTTAGCCTGATATGATCTATTCCTATTCTTGATGAGTCCATTCTGACTCTTTAAGATCACTGTTTCCTTTCTTAGATACTTACTAGCCATATTTTTAATGTTTTGAATTTTGCTAGGTAGCAAACTCCAAAAACTAAGGCTGCTATGAGAAAAGGGTCATAAAAATGTTGTTTTTTTTTTTAAAAGGCCACTAAGTGCCCAAAATCTTGTCAAGGATATTCATTCCAACTGACCCATAGGCACTCGCTTTCTAATTCCATGACTGGTGAAAATGTTTCATCATCAGATGCAATGATTTGTTGCATTAAAAATAAGGCAGGAATTAAGAAGATAAGAAGTTGGTAGATCATGATACTATATCATATTTTGTACAGTTTTCTGTGACTGGCTGATATAATGCTCTGATTAACTGGCATAGAAAACTTTATACTTTGCAAATATATTTTTATTGTTGATTAAATATGATCTTTGCAGTTATTTCAAAATTGAATAGTAAGCCTTTGATCAGGAATGTGTAACCCCCTTATTGTAATACTGTTTCTAAGTGAGATTGCACTTACAGCACCTTTTCCAGGACCTTAAAATCCTCTAAGTTTAAAGTCTGTCAATGCCCATTGCTTTTACATACTATTATGGCTCTATTCTTTGGCTTTTGAATTGAATCAGAAAAAAAATCAACAGTAACAACTACAGAAGAGGCAAGGTATATGTCCTACCTGCTAAAATTTAAATTCAGTATGGGAAAGAGATTTGTAAATGCTCAGACTTCTTTATTTTTTCAAGTAGTTTTTAAGGCAATTACTAAAAAATACAAACTACTCTCAAAGAAGAAATGGTAGTCACAACAATGAGACCACAGAGCATTTAGGCAAACAAGCTAAGAGACAGAAATCATGCCAAATGATCTAACCCTCTGGGATCCTAATCTTTTTACCCCTTATACAAACAAAAACTAGCATCAAAGCTCCAATTATCTAACAGAAATGCTAAAAATTACTGTATATTGAAGTTAGCTAAGAAATGCACTAGGCATTATAAAACAAAATTATTTTGTCACATTTATTACACTGTCATGCAAATGATGGTAGACACTAAAAACTTTAAAAGCTGCATATCACTTTTGGAATGAATGATGAAGTACCATTTATTTCAAATTTCCTACCTCTGGGAAGTATTTGTTCCTATACCACATGGAGCAGAACTTCCTCCAACGTATACTGGACTGCATCTAGATGTGATTAACAAATGTGAGAAATATGAATTACAATTAAAAGGCTATGTTTTGGTAATCAAAATGTTCTTTTCCATAAGTTGATTGTTTCAGGAAAGGAGATACTTATTCATGATCATGAGCTCTGCTTTATTGGATGTAACCTGCACATTCTGGAACACTCAAGGAGTTAAAATGAGTCACAGAAGAATAGTGTTTGCCAAATAATAAGGGGGGAAAAAGCAAACTCTGGAGAATATAACAGAACATTCATTCTGAGCAACTGTTCACACTCTTTTTCATGTGGCAGATTATTTACAATAGCAATAATCTCCAATATGGAAACTTCCTTTACACTATGGGGTCACAAGCCATCAGTCTATTATAAGATACTGCTCTTGGTCCTTCTCCTGAAAAGTAATGCTTTGTTATTTAATGTCAATGTGGTCTAAATGGTAACAAAAAAATGACTAGACCACATTCCTAGCTTTTGCTCACTGGTGTGTTTAATTCACTAAAATCTCAACTTACCTTTTGCCAAGCACTTGAATGGAAGTTCTGACAGATGTGTGATTTGAAGATTTAGGTTTTAATTTCTGTTCAAAAAGCCCAAAACAATAAAAGAGAAAGGACAGCTTTAGAGAAATATAACAGCAAAATTCAGGTTCTGCTTTATTTTGTAAGAAAAATATTATTTTTTCAACAAAAATTTGAATGTAATCTTTTTAAAGTTTCTGGAATAAAAACAATGACTAAATTCTTGAGAGGCAGCAAACATAAAGAAGCAGAACTCCCTGAGGAATCTGTAAATCATCCTGCTGCCTTTTGGTCTAGGGAAATGATATACTGCTATTATTAACATGTGAAGATTTAGAGTTACTTTCTAACTCTTCTATTAATACTTCAGTTAAATGATTTAATATGAAGAACCCGCTGTTTAAAAAAAAATGTTCTGGAAAAATTCAACAGAGGAGGAAAAAAATCAGACTCATTTGTAAGGTATGTGAGTAGTACTTACCTAAACCAAAAATAAACTAGCCAACTCCTGGTTACTTTCAGTAATACTAATTTTAATCAAATGAAGTGGTCTTAGCCAATAGAAATTCAGGGAAAATGTACAGATACTCAGTTACAACTATACAGTAGTTCCTGTATGGTTACATAACATCCTCATCATTAGCTAGCATTTATTAAGTGTTAACTATGCATATGATACTGTATAACATATAGCAACCAGGAAGCAGGCTCTCTGCCAAAAAGAGATGAAGAGAAAGAGAAATGGCTGCATTAATTCTGCAGAGACAGGCCTTTATTTTGCCTGGTGTGTGACCAAACTTTTAATGAAGACAAAAATGTCTCTTTGCTTTTTCCTTTCTCTTCTTCCAGAAGTAAACTTCCTATTTTAAGTGAAAAGAATTTTTTCCCCAGTACAAGTGTATCAATCTCCCTTTTTTGTTTGGGGAGCATGGTCTATGTGAATGGTTGGTAGGGTCATCACTCCTTCCTAGGATCACATTTTCTCCAACATCTGGGCTAATGCTTACCCTGCTGGCTGGCTGCATGACTCTGAGAAGGGAAAGAGGAAGGAATAAGCATTTATAAAGCACCATTTTGTGTCAGGTGTTGTGTTAAGCACTTTACAAAAAGTATCTCATTTGAGCTGAAATACAGAAATGTATCATCAGGCACTTAGGAATTTATGTCTCCTCTTCTCAGGAATATTTGTGGCCCCTATGTACAGCTCTCTCCTCACCAGCCCTGTTTCTTCTACTACCCTCCCAGTCCCAATCTGTAACCACAACACCAATCTACTTGTCTTATGTAATTTCTGTATTGTTGTCAGACTGAGGCACTAAGGTCATACACAACAGAATCTAGGTCAGGGCTGAGTCTGGCTGTGATGGGCCACCTCAGGTAGTGTGGGATCACCTGTCATGAGAGCTCTTTAAGGGCTCTTTATTCAATTCCATAATTTATATTGTTTATTATTAGGTACTTCCTACTAACTATTGTACACAATAATGTATAAGGCACTGTGCTAGGTACTAAGGATACAAGGACAAAAAGTGAAACTGCCCTGTCCTAAAGAAGCTTGCATTTTATTAGCTCAAGGGCTTTGATAATCTAGGAGATCATTACTGGCAATGAAAACACTCCTGATTTCTAATGACTGCTGCCAACACCTAACGACTATCAAATCACCAAGTTTCTAAATGCCTTTTGTCACTTGCAGTCAAAATAACAATGCTATTTTTTATAATTAAATTCAAGGTCAAAGGGTTTAGAGAATTGTAAAAGACTTTTCAAGTCATATAAACCAAATTCCTCATTTTTCATATGAAAAAATTGAGGGTCATAGAGATTAATTAGCTTGTCCCAGGTTACACAGGTAATATGTAACAAAGCCGAGGTAATCGAGGTCCTTTGATTCTAACGGCTGTGCTCTTATTCAACTGAATGTGTATAGTTACTTGTGTCTTCAAATTTTTTCAATGTTCTAAATACAGAAGGAAAAATCACTATATTCATGGGACTCTACTTACAACAGGCTTTTTGTCAAAACAGGGCTCTTCAAAGATTTCATTAATTAGGCCATCAAGATCATCATCAGCTTTCAGTAATATTTTAGTTGATCTGAAAATTAAAAAAAACTTCAGAGTATAGAAATCAACCAGTATCAGAAGAGAGAAGTGCTATTTAAACAACTCAATAATCTAAAGTCACAGTATAAAGAGAAACAGGATATTAATTAACAAGTTTTCTAATTGTTCTCCATTATGAACTTTAATACCATGTGCCTTGGAATACAGGGCAAATTTTATATACTCAACACATATTACTGTTCCTACATTCATAATAGAACATTTAAAAAGTTATAATGTATAGTTTAAGAAAAGCTAAGATTCTTTGCTAAATTATATTAGCAATTTGAGGTATATGCAATACTAAAATAAGAAAATATATAAAATGTTTTACAAATCTTAAAGTGTCACATAAAATATTATTTTAAAAAATCATTATTAGCAAAAAATCAATATTAGAAGTAGGGCTAGGGGGCAGTTGAATAGTGGAATAGCAATGAATAGAGGACCGATCCTGAAGTCAGGAGGACCTGGGTTCAAATCCAGCCTCAGACCAAACACTTGACACTTACTAGCTGTATGACCCTGGGCAAGTCACTTACCCTCAATTGCCTAAAAATAAAAAAAAAAATTAAAAAAAAAGTAGGGCTACCTCAAAAAAAACCCCAGGGTTTCATTATTAGAGAAATCATTACCTCTTTAGTAGTTAATAATAGCTAGCATTTATATAACAATTTAAAGTTTGCAAAGCACATTACAGATATTATCTCATTTTATTCTTATAAAACCCTACCCTTACACTTACCTGAGAGGTTAAGTGCTATTATTATCCTCATTTTACAGATGAGGATACTAAGACACAGAGAGGTCAAGTGACTTGCCCAGGGTCACATGACTAATACCTGAGGCTGGATTTGAGCTCCTGTCTTCCTGACTCCTGATCCAGTGTACCACTTAATTGACTCCACATTACTGGGTTGTTGTGAGGCTCAAATAAGATTTTATATACATGTATATATATAAAAACCACACTGCAAATCTTAAAGTGCTTTCAGCTATTGCTATAGAGGTAAAAAAGTATATAATTACTGGACAAGGATGGAAAAAGATGGACTACAGCACAAATCAGTTGGGTTAGTTTCCAATAAAAGATAAGGAGTGTAGATAACCTTATGTAGGCCTTATGAAATACACTATCCTTATACAAAAGACCTTTGTCTGGCTATAGCTGCAATTCCTCTGGTTTCAGTTCTGCCTCTCTTATTTTCTCAGATACAAGCCATTAAGCTCACCATTCCTATAACTCTGACACTACCTCCCTGAAAAAGTTAAATGGCTATCCAGAGACTAGATTCTAGACCACTCTTACAGTAGTATATAAACAAAGCTTTCAGAAACTATTTACTACTGACCCTCCATAAAGAGTGTAATTCACTACTGCTATCTTACCACTCTCAAAAGACACAAAGTTACTTTTTGATTACAGACTAATTTCATTAGTCAAAATTTTTATTAAAAACAAAACAACTATTTGTACATTTTAATTTTTCTGAATGTCCTCATTGCTTCTGTATCATTGCTTTTAGGCGAGGAAATTAAAAGCCAATCTAAGCTAGAAATTCTTAATTACTTAGGTTATTCTAGAGAACATGAGGTCAATTACAAACTTCTAATTTCTTTTCTTTTTTTGGGGGGGGGCTAGGCAATGGCGTTAAGTGAGTTGTTCAGGGTCACACAGCTAGCAAGCATCAAAAGTGTGAGTCCACATTTGAACTCAGGTCCTTCTGACTCAAGGGCTGATGCTCTATCCACTGCACCACCTAGCTGTCCCACAAACTGCTAATTTCCAAATAATGTTCTTGTGTTTAAAATTTGAAATTGTGCACATAGCATACAACAATAATAAATGCTAATTGGCTGGAAGGAATGATAGATCTCCAGTTATAGAGCTGATTTGCTACACTATGCTTGGATTAGGCAATTTTATTTGGGCAGTTAGGCGGTAAAGTGGATAGAACACGGGGCCTGGAGTCAGGAAGACCTCTGAGTTCAAGTTTGTCCTCAAGGACTTACGAGTTCTATGGTTCTTGGCAAATCACTTAAATGCTGTCTGCCTCAGTTTTCTCATCTCTAAAATGGGGATAACAGACCATCTACCTCCCATGAATGCTCTTAAGATGAAATGGGATATTTGCAAAGAACTATGCAAACATTAAAGAGCTATATAAATTCTAGCTATTATTAAATAAATATTAAATTGAACACTTGGTTTAAGTAGAGCTACAAAATACCAGGACTGTAGATTTAAAACTGTAAGGGATTTTGGAAATTGTCTAGTATAAACTCCTCATTTTATAGATGAGGAAAACAGGCTTGCAAAGGTAAAGTGACTTGCCTAAAGTGACAAGAGGTAGTACCCAACAGAGCCAGGACTGAACCTAGGTGCTTAATGTCATGGAGTTGGATACCTGTAAATGGTATTGGCTGAACAGAATATTTCCAGGGCTCAAAATGATCATTTACTTAAAATTCTGGTTTGGGTACTGGGTCAGAGAACTAAGTAAGACCTAAGTGGAATTAGTCAATAAACATTTATTTAGTGTCTACTAAATAGGGGCACTTAGGTGGCACAGTGGATAGAGTGCTGGGCCTGAGGTCAGGAAGTCTTCTTTCTGAAGAAGACTTCTTCCGGAGTTCAAATCTGGCCTCTAATACTTACTAGCTGTGTGATCCTGGGCAAGTCACCGTTTTTTTTTTTAAAAAGGCAATTGGGGTTAAGTGACTTGCCCAGAGTCACACAGCTAGTTAAGCGTTATGTGTCTGAGGCTGGATTTGAACAGGTCCTCTTGACTCCAGGGCTGGTGCTCTATCCACGGTGCCACCAAGCTGCCCCCTATTTGCCTCAGTTTCCTCATCTGTAAGATGAACTGGAAAAGAAAATGGCAAACCAGTCCAGTATGTCTGGCAAGAAAAGCCCAAATGAACCACAAAGGGTCAAACACAACGGAACGAGTGCTTACTATGTTCCAGGCACCATGTTAAGCCCTGGGATACAAAAAGAGGCAAAGGACAGTCTCTGCCCTTTAGGAGCTCACAATGTAAGGGGAGCGGGGGAGGCGACAAGCAAACAAATATGTACAAACAAATTCTGTATACAGGACAAAGAGGAATAATTAAAAGAATCACAGAATTTCAGAGCTCAAAAGTACCTGGGAGATCACCTGAACCATGTTTCTGCCTTTGCATCCCTAGGGCTTAGCACAATGCCTTCTCTCTGTTAATTATTTCCTATTTATCCTGTATATAGCTTACTCTGCAGATATTTGCTTGCCTGTTGTTGAGGGTAGGGGGTGGTCTTTTGCTTCTTTTTTTTTTAAATCCCCATGGCTCATTAGCATAATGTCTGGACCATGCTAGGCATTTAATAAATGTTTACTAATTACCTAGGGTCACACAGCTAGTAACTATTTGAGGTAAGATGTAAGCTTCTTGAGAGCCAAGGCTGTCTTTTACCTTTCTTTGAATCCCCAGCATCTTAACACAGTGCCTGGCACACAGCAGCCTCTTACTAAATACTAGCTGACCTGACTGCAGGTTCCAACATAGCATCCATTGTCCCTCCTAGCCACTTCAAACTTCTGGCAAATTAGGGCAAATCACTTAACGTCTTAGAGCCCTGTTTCCAAATCTGTAAAACAAGCAGTGCTGGAAAAGATAATATCCATGGTCCCTTCTGGTGCTGTACTTGTATTTGGAAGGAGACCGGTCTCATTATATATTTTGGGAGAGCTCCAAAACACCAAGACCAACCAGGACTTTAGAGTCACAGCCTCCAACAGTTTTGCAATAAAGGTTTTACTAAAACATGAAGAGAAAAAAAAGGTGGTCTTTTTTGCTTTTCAGGTGTAAGCACTTCTTACGGACAAGCACATGTACCCCCTTCGTGCTGGACCTGGTGAGACACACAATTCTGGATCGAAGAGGCTGACCCATCAGCACACACACTTCTGAGTTGAGGAGTCTGCCCCATCAACATACACAGTTCTCCACTGAGGAGTCAGACCCATCAACGTATACACACTCCCCTAAATTGAGGGATCAGATACACTTCTGGTTTGATAAGTTAGACCCAAGACACACCCCCACACCCCTCCCACCCACCCACCCCTGGGTGAGGAGGCAGACCCATCCCCCCCACCACGTTCGGACCCCCTCGGACGCCGCCGGCAGCCGTGGCAGTGCGGAGGGGAGTGGCCCCTCCGCCTCCCCCGGGTCAGTTTCAGGCCCCGAACGCCAGAAGTCGGGGCGGCCTGGGGAGCCGAGGGCCGCGCGCGGACCGGCGAGAGGACAGCCCCAAGGCGGGAGACAGGACCAGGGGCGGGGCAGGCTCCGGCTCCTCCCCGGCCGCCCGAGGGTGCTTTCCTTGGGGGCCTCGGGGTCCGCCTCAGGCCGTACCAGAACCCCTCCCAGCCCTTCCTCCATCACCTGAGGTCTTCGTCGTCATCGTTGTCCTCAACGTCTTCGTCGTAGTCTTCGTCATAGTCGTAGTCCTCCGTGTCCCGGTCGGCGCTGTTCCTGCTGCAGGTCACCGCGCTGCTCCTACGCGGCGGCCGCTCCAGGGGTCCCGGACTCAAGGATTTGGGTCGGCAGAATTTAGACTCCACCTCATCCAACAGTTCGTCCAGATCCTCCGCCATCTTGGCCGGTCCTTCCCCTTCCTTCCACAGCCTCCCGCTCCCTTCCCACTCCACTCTACAGTAATCCCATAGTCCCGGCTGGTTGCCTAGGGCAACGCGTGGCCTGGAGGAGCGCGCCGTCTGCTGCTCTCGCGCGCCCCCTGCCTCCCAGTCCGTTTCCCTACTCTTGGCGCGGGCGCGCGGCGGGGGGCCTTGGAGCACGCGCCTTTTCCTCTTCCTCCCCTTTTCCCCTCCTGGGTTCGCTCACGGCCGAACGAGAGAAGCACTTCGGAGGCTCGGAGCCCGTGTTGGACTCCACAGCTCCTGGGCGTGCCAGTCTGCGTGTGGAAGGAGGCCGGAGTCCTGGATGCCACTTGGTTTCCGGCTTGCCTCTGTTACTCTTCTCTCCCTCTTTCGGCCCAATGTATGAAACACGCTCAGCACACGCTCCGAGGCCTTCTCGTGCCCCTGCCTGGAGGATCCCACTCTTCCCCACTTCGCCCCTTTGCTGTAATTCTGTGGGAGGCGAGGTGGGGAAAGAAAAAATGAACACCCGGCACATTTGAAAAAGAAAAAAAAAACAAAACGCGTTCTCCTTCCCGTAGTCGGCAGGATTCGAACCTGCGCGGGGAGACCCCAATGGATTTCTAGTCCATCGCCTTAACCACTCGGCCACGACTACCAGTGGTAGAATCTTGGGCAGCAAGCCTATAAGACGCTGTTGTCACAGTACCCTTCTCTCGCAGAGCGCAACGTTTTTGGGGAAGTTGTAATTGATCCCTCCTTTCTCTAGAGGACTTCTCCTCCTTGGTACCGCAGATTTTCTCCCAGTTGCTCCTACTACGAAATTTAAGGGCCCTCAAATCTTTACAATTTTTCTCTCCACTCGCTCGGGTTAGACCCGCCCCCCACTCTGGTTGGATGCCCGTCAGGTAGGCGTGGTCGGGACAACTCCGATCACTCCGGCCTTGGTCTTTTACCTGTTTTGTTCCCCCGGATGAAGGGTGGAATTTCATCCCGCTGCCCTTTGAACGCCTTACCTCCCTGGGTCACATCCTTTGGTGCACATCTTCGAAACCTCCTCACAACTGCATCCCACGGCCGCTTCTTGGCCCCACCCCGCACCACATCCATCCACCCCTCCCCCCACTTGACACCTACGGTTCAAGCTCAAAGTGTCTGCCCCCAGCCCCCCCCCCACTCCCCCAGCTTTGTAAAATAACAGCTCACTCTGCCATGCAAGGCACTGTTTTTAGCATGGTGATGATTGCCATCATTATTTAGCCCCTGAGCCAATGGAGGTAACTTGCATTCCCCCCCCCCCCCTTTTCAATATTGGGGAAGCAGAAGGGCCTGCTGTGCCTGAAAACTGCCTAGTGACCATCGTGCCCTGTGGAGGGAGTGTGAGCACAGAATATCTAGAGCCTGCATTCAGCCAGCTTGCGGAGGGCTGTCTATAGAGAACCACATTTAAACCCCACAGCAACTTCAGGTTGTGCTAGCTCAGCTTTTTAACAGAGGAGGAATCTTAAGGCCAGTAACTCAACCTTCCTGGGCCTCAGTTTTTTCATTTGTAAAATCAGGGGGTTGGACTAGGTGGCCTTTGGAGGTCCTTTCCAGATCCAGATCTGTAATAATAATCATATTAAATGATTTTGGTAAGCTAATAAAATTCTAGCTTTCCTCTATCTCTGATCACTTTCTGTGATCAGGAGACTGTAAACCTCCCTGAAGGCCAAGAGTATTTTGTTTTTGTTTTTGTATTCTCAACTCCAAGGACACTTTTTCTTACAGTAAACACTTAGTAAATGTTGGTGGAATTGGGTACTTTGTTGAAGTGTCAGCATGTATTTGATTTGTATATGTCATATACCACTACCCCCATATCTTCTCTATATATCTTTTATCTTTATAGATGTCTATGTGTGTCCTCTCTCTCGGACATGTGTGTGTATATACACACATAATATTCACATATATATAAGTATATGTGTGTGTATGTGTGTGTATCTATCTACATACAAGAGAGAGGGGACATATATGTACATGAATATATCTATATGTGTGTCCATGTTACCTTCCTCATCAGAACGTAAACTCTTTGAAGGCAGGAGCTATTTTGTTATTGTCTTTGTATTCTCAAAGGTAAGTGGTTAATAAATGCTTGTGGATTGATTAAAGCCATCCTTATTTCATTCTTGGTTCTGCTTAACTTTCCCAGGGCGGCAACAGTGAAAATATATACTTAATAAATGTTTTTGATAGTGATAGGAGTTCCTTGAACCCTAATATATATATATATATATATGTATATATATATATACATATATATATATATACACACACACACACACATATATACATATATATACATACATACTATTTATATATAAGGGACTGGATCAACCTAATGCCTAATTCTAAGTGTAGGTAAAGTTAGGTGGTGTAGTGGCTTGAAAGGCTTTTGTTGTCCCACATTTTCTTTGCTACCTCTTACTGCTGGTTTTGTAATGCCATCTGTAGAAACTGATTTCTTTGGTTTATTGTGTCCCCTCTTCAAATGGAAATTCTCTGTCTCCCTCCCCCACCCCCCCAATCTCAAGGGATTTCTACAGTTCAAGCACAGAACGTTAGAATTAAGACATCAGAGGGGTCCTCCAGTACAACTCAAATCTGAAAAGACAGTCCCTGTGATATTCCCAGTAAGTGGTCATCCAGTTTCTGCTTGAAGACTCCCAGTGAGGGGAAATGCAGTATCCTCTGAGACAACCTTGGACAGTGCTCATTGTTTAGAAAGTTTTCCCTTATATCAAGTGAAAATCTGTCTTTCTATAAACATTGTGGCTGCTAAGCACAGGCCTAATCCTCTTCCACATGATGATTCTTGAAGTTGGCTGTTATCTTCCATACACACTCTATCTCTTCTTCTTGAGGCTTAATTTCCTCATTGTCTTGATTTCCAGATCTCTCACTATTCTTGTTCTCCTCCTCCCAATGCACTTGAGTTTTTCAGCTTCTTGACTAAAGAGTGGTACCTAGAACTGAATACTAGACTCCGGGTCAATCTGACTCTCTATTTATTATTCCCTATTTATCCTGTATATAACTTCTTCACACATATTCGTTTGCTTCTTGTCTTCCCTATTAATTGTGAAATCCTTGGGGTCAGAAACTGTCTTTTGCTTTTCTTTGTAACCCCAGGGGCTTAGCACAGTGCCTGGTACATACTAGGCACTTAATAAAAGGCTTATTGATTGACTGTCTAGTTATTCTTTCGTTCTGAACTTACACAGTTGATTTTTAAAAACAGTATAGGGCTTTATAGTTATCTGTTCTGTTCTATCTTAGATGCAGCTCCTTGTTCTAGTATGGTGAAATCTTTTGGATCCAGATTCTGACCTTCAACTTGATTATCATTGTTTTTATAATCAGGAGGCCCTGGCAATTGATCTGTAGAGCAGGTAAGCAGTATCTGTTTCTGGTAATCCTGAGGGAAAGAGAGAGCTTTTCTCCTCTTATGCTGCCTGTAATCAGACTATAAAAGATGACCTAACCTAGCCTAGGAAGCTGAAAGACAGGGAAGGGGTGAGGGAAATCAGTCAATGAGATTTATTAAGCACCTACTATGTAGCCAGCACTGTGCTAAGCATTGAGGATACAAAAAGAGGCAAAAGACACTCTCTGTCCTGAGGAGCTCACAATCGAATGGGGGAGAAAACAAGCAATTATATATAAACAAGCTATATACAGGAAACATAGGGAAGGCACTAGAATTAAGAGGGGTTCAGAAAGGCTTCCTGTAAAAGAGGGGATTTTAACTGTGACTTATAGGAAACCAGGGAAGGCAGTAGTCAGACTGGAGGAGGGAGGGCATTCCAGGCAAGGGGGACAACCGGAGAAAATGGCCAGAGCTGAGAGATGGAGTGCCCTGTTCATGGATCTTTGTCACTGGATCAAAGAATTTGGTGTTGAGTGACTAGGGAACAGAGAAAGGCAGCAGAGTCAGGAGTCTGGAGGTGAATGAAGGATAATATTATTATCCCCATTTTGCAGATGTGGAAATTGTGACTGATAAAAATTAAGTGATTGGCTCAAGGTTGAAGCTAGTAAGGGTCCTAAGCAACATTCAAACTCAAGTCTTCCTCACTTCAGGCCCCAAACTATCTACTGAAAGAGAAATGGATCCTTGCCACCCACATACTGACTTTGAATACCACAAATTAACATTATCTATATTGTATTGTATTTTTTTTGGGGGGGCATCAAACATTTCCCAGTCACATTTTAATTTGATTCAGGCCATGTTTGGGAGTTTTGGACTTGCCAGCATGGGCCACAGGTTTGATACCTCTGCCCCATAACATCTATCTGTCTTCTACTCAGATCCCCTTTTCATTCTAAAATCTGCTTGCCCCACTCCACACGTTTGTTTTAAATGTGTTTTAAATGCCTGTTTTAAATGCCTTCATCAATGCCTTTGTCAAAATGTTGAGCAGAAGGCCAAGGATAGACCTCTGGGGCACTTCACTAGAGACTTTTCTTCAGGTTGACATAGATCCATTAATCACTATACTTTGCTTGTCATTCAGATAGTTCTGAATGTCCCTTTCTTTAATGCTATCTAACCCATATATCTCCATCTTTTCCATAAGACTATCAGGACAGATTTTGCCAGATGCTTTGCTGAATCCAGGCATTCCATATCTATCACATTTCCCTAATCTGCCAACCTAGTAACCCTGTCAAAAAAAGGAAATGAAATTCATCTCTGGCATAAAGTTAATCTGCTTTTGAAGAATACATGCTGGGGCTTCACTTTATGAATTCTTACAAATCATTCCTTTTATTACACAGTCTATAATTTTGCTTGGAATTGAAGTTAATCAATGATCTGGAATCTGACAATTCCAGCCTCTTCTGCTTATTTCCAGTCCTACTGATAGTGGTTCAAAGATCCACTTTACCCATTCTTTTAGCCCTGGGGGATATAGTTTGTCTGGGCCTGAAATCTTAAACTCATTGAGGGCAGTTCCTTACTTTCCGACCATCTCCTTATATATCTTGAATTTCAACCCCTGTTAATAATTTTTGTTCTCTCCTTCAGAATCTGAAAATCATTCTCTTTTGGGGAGAAACTAGGAATAAAGTAAGAATTGAATAATTTTGACTTCTTCATTATCTGCTGTCATCATCCCATCTCCCGACCCCCACCCACCAGCAGTACTATACCACACCCCTTTTTGATCTTTCTCTTACTGCTTACCGTCATTGCTCAAAAAGTCCTGTTCAATCTGGTCATGGTGAGGTTTGCCCAGTAGTCACTGATTTGGGGAAGGCAGAGGCTGACAAATCACTGGAGCTCAGGAGCTCAGAACCACAGTAGGGCTAAAGCCCATCAGGTGTGTACACTAGGTTTGGCATTAATAGGATGAGACCCTGAGATCAGAAAGCCATAAGACTACCTGAGGAAGGCTGAATTGACCCAAGTCAGAAGTGAAGCAGGTAAAAGCTTCTTTGCCAGTCAGTATTGGGACTGGCTTGTGAGCAGCCACATCTAGCCACGATGAGATAGAGAGACTCAATCTCAAAAAATAAAATAAAATAAAAGGCAGCTCTGTGTTTTAGTATCTACCATAAGCCTTAGTTTTTTCCTTAATTTTAGTTCTGGTGAAACAATTTTCACCAAACAATTTGTATGTGTATTTTAACAACCTAAGCTGGTTGATGAGTTTCCTGTACATTCTCATCAACTTATCCCCTACCTCACGTAACACCCCTTTGTTGTTCAGTTGTGTCCGACTCTTTGTGACCCCATTTGGGATTTCTTGGCAAAGATACTGGAGTGGTTTGCCATTTCCTGCTCCAGCCCATTTTACAGGTGAGGAAACTGAGGCAAACAGGGTTAAGTGACTTGCCCAGGATCACTCAGCTAGTAAGTGTCTGAGGCCAGATTTGAAATATAGAAAGATGAGTCTTCTTGACTCCAGGCGAGGTACTCTATCTACTTTGCCATCTAGCTGCCCTTAAGTCTCAGCTAAAATCCCATCTTCTATAGGAAGTATTTTTCAAACTCTCTTAACTCTGGTGCCTTCCTTCTTTTTTTCGAATTTCCAAAAAAACTGGAAACAATAGGTTGATGATT